AAGATGAATGCCCCCCTCATCGGTGTTGTTGGTATCAATGAAGGTTTTCAAGCACTCTGCGCAGAAATCGAATAGTTTCTGGCCGTCATCTTGTTTTTGCTCCTCCGTCAAACGGTATTTCGACTGGGTGATCTCGAATTTCCCTTCGCCTTGGACGGTAACCAGGCAAACGCGCAGGTTGGTGCCGCCTGGGGAAGGTAAGCATAATAGAATGATTAGGGATGGGGCTATGTGAAAGACATACGAAAGGCACGCACCGAGATCAACTGCGAGGAAATCACCCTGCTCCTTGCCACTGGGCCAGCCGAAGACGAAGGTGGGGATCATGGGCTACAAGGAGGAAATTAGCTCCGTCGATGGTGGAACATTTAGGCCAGTGCATGTTGGAACCCCGTGGGTTCTGGTGCCTGGCGAGCGCGTATCAACAACTCATCAATCGAAGTCGACGTAGATAGGGGTAACACTGAGGAAGCATTTATAGAGAGAATGGACACTTGCCACGGTCTGTTCTGGCTTCTGCAAGCCAAGTTCCAACGTTTCCTTAAAAGCCTCGACGATCATCCGCATCCGCTGAGGCGTCAATGTAAATCTGGTGGTGGGAGATCAATCCTACACCAATTGGCTGGGCTGGCTCTTACTAACAGGCTTTCATATTTCCTCAAGTGATCCGCCATTGTCCTGCGATGAATACATTATTCCTGGGTGCCAGATGAAAAATCTGATCTAGAACGCACTTTTTGGTTGCGTGGGGTAGATCATCGTCATCCTGTGTCCTGGTGTGGATGGCTAGCGTTTGACCAGTGGAGAGAGTAATGCTCCCACTTCCTCGACGAGATAGAACCATTCTTGATAAGTTTCAGTTGTAGTGATCAATAGATTACAGGAGAGAAGGTATCGGCCGTGATTACAGTGGGTCTCCGACAAGGGTTGTTACGTCGTCTCTATTTGTCCATCCGAATATCGTGAGAAAATAAGCTTGGCTCGAACTTGGACTCCATTATTTTTTTCGCGTCATGATTGGCCTCAAAAGTACATTGAATGTGTGCTCTATTCTCATTTCACGGGTGCTTAGGGCTCACTACTCTCTCTTAGTGCATAGATAACTCGGGCGCTCTGGTCGTAGAATGCGTTAATATCTTGAAACAAAAAGTCAACAACGGCTGGGGCTCTGTGGGGGACGAAATTGTTTGCGTGGTCAAGCGCGCCCGACCAGTCTCGGCGGCGACACAAGCATCCGTTACAGCCGTCAAGGTCCGCCGGGGTGATGTCCGGAGGGCTGTTATTGTGCGTACTCGCAAGGCTGTCACCAGACCGGACGGCCGCATCATTAGGTTCGATGATAACGCGGCTGTGTTACTCAACAACAAACGGGAGATGCTCGGAACACGTATTGGTGGCATTGTTAGCGCAGACCTTAGGATGAAGGGGTGGGGAAAGATAGTCAGTCTGGCACCGAAGGTGAGTATCTATGCTATGTCTAAGCTGAGGTTGATTGACATGGCTCTGTAGGTCATTTAGTTATGTTATCTATTTCGGAATCCGTCCGGAAGTCTTCGAGCAGGGTTCAGGGAAGCTTGAGCCAGAGATCTTCATAGCCGCGCCCTACCTGTACTCGCAAGTTGTCCCTAAGCAGACTAATAATACCATGCTGGTAGGCACGAGGTTGTTACATGTCAACAGCACACATACCCGGAAATCATTCGGAATGTCTAATTGCGGCTTCCCCGGCGGCAAACAGTGTTTATAAACGCCTACCAGAAATCAGTCAGCCGTACCTTGTGCACACCACTAACCGATCGCCAGACTATAATTGAGAATACTCACACTCACTCGGTATCATACTATGACGCGAGTCGAGAACGTCAAGAAGAATACTGGGGCGGCCACGGCGCGCGGCCGCGGAACGTACTCAGCCCAAGCGTGTAATGTCTGTCGGATAAAGTTAGTAAATTCTGGTACACTCTAGCCAACAGTTCGTCTAATCTTCCCACCTCAGGAAGTCGAAATGTGATGGGGTTAGGCCGGTGTGTGAATCATGTTCCATCGGGGGCCGACAGAGTGAGGTGAGTGATAATATCAAGTTTTAAATCATCGGTCATCAAGTGTGTTCATACAGTGCTCATGGGGCCGAGAACCTGCCCGTAAACCACGTACAGAAGCACATTTTGAATCACTCCGCAAACGTATCGACGCCCTGGAAGAATACGTAGTTCTTCTGGAGTCCATGCTAGACAAATGTCGACTGGAGCATAATGGCGTGGACGCTCAAGCTTGGCTTCAATTTAAGCCACTCGATGTAGAAAGCGCAGCAGTGGATGATGTGCAACTCGGACCAGAACACGATGATGATGATATGGAACCGGAATTGGGCGGTGCTATTGCTCAAGAACTCTGTGTAGGCTCGACACATGACCTTACGGTTGGTTGAGGTCTCTTATGTATCAATTCAATGATGTCCATGGCCTTCTTAGTACGAAAAGGGAATCTTTATCTCTCACGGAAATACAGCACCTTTTCGGTTTGTTTCCCAGTCTGGCACCCTGGCCCTACCCCCTGCTTCACGTTTTCCTGCTATTACTGAACACCCAGAAGCGACATATACACTGTTGGTTGACGGTGTAGGCGATACTCCTTTCAATCCCGATTTTGATTGGTCGCGCCATCTCCCGTCGGTCGTTCCCCTTGATAGAAGGACCCATGACAAGTGAGTTGACGTTGCTATTCCACATTGATTCATCTAATTGAATAACGGCAGACTGCTTGATCTTTTATTCAAGTTTTTCACGTCGTGGTGTTTACGAATAATTCCCGCCTTTTCCTGCGAGACATGTATCGTGCTCTTAGCGCACCCAGCTCGCATAGCCTCTACAAACCGCACATTATTCTCCAATGCTGCACAATGCACTTTTGGCCCTCGCCACAGCTTTCTCTGATGACCTCCGCATCCGCGACCTCAAGGCGCGGCAGTACTTTGCTGTCGCCGCGAAAAACTTGATCGAATCCGAATGCCAAAAGCCAAACCTCAGTGTTGTGCATGCGCTCTCCATCTTGGGGAGCTTCCATTCGTCGCAGGGGGATCAAACACTCGGTTACCTCTATTTTGGTATGTATAGAACCAGTTCATGTTATAACTTGAGAACAAGCGAATGCAGGTATGAGCGCTAGGATGAGCCAAGCTCGTGAGTGTTCCTCATTCTCGCATTATTCGGCGTCTCACATTTTGCTAGTCGGTCTCAACATTGAATGCTCGCCCTGGGTCCGTTCGGGCCTCATCAACGAATACGACATGTTGGACCGTTATTGGGCTTATTGGACGACCTTTACTCAGGTTAGTTATCAATCCGGTCACAATTTCACATCGTCTGAACTTAAAAATCAGGATGTTTGTTGGTCCCTCTACGTAGGGCGAGATTTTTGTGTCCAATTTCAAAGGGAATCCCTACTCCTTGTAGATTCGCATTTGGATGAATTACCATGGCATTACCTACCAGCAGGGATTCCACCACAACCAAATTTATTATCTAAAACTTTCGCAGCGACCTGCGAACTCCTTCGGATCGCGCGTCGAATCATGGATGTTGTGTATGGGTTTTGCTGTTTGATTATTGAAGCCATAACATAATTGCCCCTAGGAATGGACTAAACAGCACGGGCGTCCGTCAAGAGATGAATGCGGAACTTATTAGCCGAATTGAGTAAATTTAAACCGTTCTATCAATGATGTTGATTCTGACTGGGCTAGCCTTGAACTCAATACCTGGAAGGGGCAACTCTCCCCCGATATCGACATCACAATCAAGTCTAGGCCAACCGCCACCCCACACCTCCTCATGACCCACCTCGCCTACTGGTGGCTGTTCATTCTGCTCCATAGGCCATTCTATCATCGTCGACCCCGTCCGATCCACAGCTCTGATAAAGATATTGATCATGCCAAGGTCGTCTTTTACCCTATCTCGAATATAGCCCCTGCTCACCATTTTGATAGCTGTGCAAACGTGCGGCCGAAAACATTATGGAGCTCCTCGGCACTTGGCGCACCCTTTACACACTCCGCTACGTCCCAATTACCCTCATCCAGACCATTTTCTCGGCTGGGACCATCTACCTCCTTACAGCTGTGCACGCGACCACAGGCCTGCGGGTCTTCGAGACGTCTCTTGAGCATTCCCTCTCGCAGGCCAATCTCTGTATACAGTACCTACTCGAGACCGGGAAGTCCTGGCAATGTGCGACCAACATCGCAGGTATTTTGAGGAATCTGTTACAGGAACAGTTGAACCGCTCATGGACAGACGCGGCTCTGCACGCCTCATACCTCAGCTGGCTGAACCAACTGCGGCGTCCCCTTCGACCTCGTCCGGGCGGGGAGCGTCACGCCGGAGGCGCGGGAGGAGTGCGTCTACCAAATCCATTGACCGCACCCGCACGCGCGGTTCAACACCCGCTAGCACCGCTCAAGCGAATCCCGTGTCTGTGCCTATCTCTCCTTTATTGATGACATCACTATCGCTATCTTCTCCTTCACTGACCGCTCTCCCTTCTCCCCCATCAAACCCGACACTGTCTGCTACTCCCCCCGTCCCACCCATCCCGATAGAGCAGACCCCCCAGCTGAACCCATTCGATTCTCTCTTCGATGATCCTAACATCTTTAGCATGGACTCTACGCGTCTCCTCGCCATGCTTGGGGGGCAGACCTTCCCTGATACACCTTTCGTCGCGTCGTTCTCCGCAAACAACATTAACGGCAACATAGAGATGGATCATACATACGCTTCGACGCGGGATGAAGAAATGCACGGCCTGGATGCAGACGGAGGGATCCTGGACGAGGAGCTACGGGATATTTGGGAACGATACTTTGGGAATATCTAAAATATATACATACGAATTTACTGCATCAATATTGGAGAGGTCAATACTATGACGAATACGAGGATGTATCTGCTCTTCTGATCGAGTCTTGTGAAAGCGAGAGCAATGCGGACAAAAATAGTCTCTCTGACTGGGAGTCGAACCCAGCTTTCGCGCGGTCTTTTTGAGTGACAGGCGCGTGTACTAACCGATATACTATCAGAGACATGATATGTGATGGATCCAGAACTTATGGCGTAAAATTCCTATGGATCGGGCTGAATGGAGACCCACCTGTCGTTGATCCAGTTTCACAATAGAGATGCTAATGAACAACAGCAATGTTCCAGCATGCATAATACCGACAATTAATTGTGTGCCTATGACAACCTACCTACATCGATCACTCAATAGCAAGCCGTGCATACTCGTCATGCTCCACACCATGTGAGGGGTGTTGCAGGCCTACAGGGACTAGCGAGTGGGACATGAGGTCAAGACTAGCGAGGCTGATTTTGGAATGGTCGTCATAAAGGACCAGTGAGGGAGCGACACGACAACTGTGAATTGGAAGTGGAAGAGTCAGATGACGCGGAATGGTGGGCTATTTTCGGCGTTACCGAAGATACAAGCTGCTGTCAGATGATACTTCTCACTATAGATCGAAATATCAAAACGCCAGGTTGACTTCGATGGAAACGGAGAGATGGAGATGGAGATGGAGATGGGGGCTGTTCAAACCTTACTGCCGGTAGAGCCGGAGAGAGACATAGCCCAAAAAGAAAGAGGACGGTACGTCGCTCTTAGAGACAAGAGTGCGTAGAAACCGACATAATTCCCTGGGTACAGTAATTGTATAGAGGGGAGAGGATCGAGGAAGGGAGGAACGTCGGGGCTGGGCCACGTGAGATTCTGGTAATTCCAGAGTCCGGACTGGGTTTAGCCTGCCCGTTTCATTACGGCAAATGCCGAGCCCATATAGACTTCTCCTACACCTTCTTCTGGTTTCCCGTTTCCCTTGGGTTTCCCTTTCAGCGTCCTCACACGAGTCCCCTTCGTCGTCGTTGTCGTCGCTGCCATCGTCCTCTACGATGCTCCTCCCAAATGTCCATGTCCCCCGGATATCTTTCCCATCACTAACCGTCCACTTCCCATCAAGCACCTCGCTTCTCTTATCATTACTGGCAACATTCACCCTTCTGGCTTTTGTTCGCGCTACGCTATGCTTAAAGACATACATGAAAGTCAAAGGCCAATCGCAGCATCAGGAGTCTGGTCAGGCTAGGGAAAAGGGACAAACAACATGGTCGCCATCTTGGCGTGTGTTCTCATGGGAAAGCCTTCCTTTGACTCTGCCGGTGTCCCTCTCAGTGGTAGAAAAAGATCACAAAGGCATGGGTGTCGGTCTTGGTGCTGGTGCGGTATTGAGGCTACCTGTACCACCAGCTGCTTCGCACAGCGCCCCTGTTGAACATTCACCTCGGGCTCCCCAGAATCCCCGTGAGTTTTTCTCCCTCCCCTGAACTCATGAACGCTCTGCTAATCCCGTCGACCGTTATAGAAACTAGTATATATGGAAATCAACCACCAATATCAATGGCAAAGATGATTATGTCGAGACATGTACGGGCTACCTCCCATCCAACCATCTGCCATGTTAACCACCTTTTATCCAGACATTCAGAAAACCAACGCAACGCCCTCCACGTCCTCCACCAACCCTCCAGCAACAAGTTCAATACACACTCCGCAGACAACCCTCCATGGTTTAGCGCCTGCTCTTGTTCCGGAACCGATCTTCAACAAACCAAATTTATCATTATCACGACCCGTACTGAACTTCCTAATGATATCCACGCATTTACGCACCCCAATATACATCCCCATAGTCCCGTGCAAACTTTATGGAAACCGCGCTACCTTCCCAACTCCCATATAATGCCCTCCCCATCTGTCCATATCTGTTCACTTAGGCTGCTGCTTGCTGTTTCGCGCTTGCGGGTGTTCCATGCTTTTCGATCTTATCTTTTCTCTTTGCTTGTGCTATAACTTTTATTTTTTATTTCTTCACCCGGACCCTCAGCCCTGTTTATATATTTTCATTATTCTTTTACTTACCTTTGACCGCTTTTGGATCCCCTCATCATGGAACACGACTCCTGGATGGAATAGACACCTCCCCCTAGCTGAGCGGTTTACGTCGTATATTGGAACGTAATTGTGTAAATATCATTGGCTTGTTCAGTTTCCGTGCGGATCCCTGAGTGGTGTCAGAATCTCCGGTCGGCCCGCCCTGAGCGCACTCCGGGTAACCGTCGGACGGTGGCGGCTAAACGGATAGTGCATTGGACATGAGACCTCCGAGATTTGTGCACAAACGACACGAAGCGGCGGAATGCACAAGTGCTAATGCATCTTGGAAGAATCTCCACATGGTATCCAAAATTAGAAATATCTGGGCATGTGGGGTTTACATTATTGGTACAAACCAAGAACTCTAGTACTTCGAGTAGTCTACCAGCGCATGTGCAAGTACTGGCCAGGTAAGCTAGAAATCGCAGCCGCTTAGATTCCGCCCCATGCTTCTGTCCATACCGTTACCGCATTGCGGTTTACATACTTCCGATCAGGACAGTCAGCATGGCTCGGTCTAAGACCCTCTAACCTTCAGCAAACGCAATGCAAATGTACATTTCTCGCACCCGTGTATTAAATATCCGCGCTCTCCCAGGGCTTCTTCCGGGTCGACGCCGTTGACTCGCTGGGAGGCGCAGTCTATGTGACAGCCGCACCTAGAATCTGGAGTGCGATCGTATGTAACGGCGGTTAACTTACATGAAGTTGCTCGGGGATTATCTTGTTATTAGGGATCTGGTCGACCTTCCCTGACTCAATAAGCTCCTGCAGCTCCGCGAATGTGAGCACACGTTGCTCGCTCTGGTCTGTGTTCGTCGACTCCGCGGCCCCAGTGGGGGGCGTCGTGGGAACCAATGCGGGCCCAGAAGTTGGGGTAGGTTGATTGAGGGAGAGCTCGTGGATGCGAGCATCCTCCATGGTGATCGAATTCCCCGTTACGCTAGATCTCCATATGTGACGGATATCCGCAGGGACTATGATATGCTTACCGATTAAAATAAAAGACACGAGTACGGCGGAGGATCTCATCTTTTGTCTCCTGCGATAGGTCGCCCTGGAATGTGTCTCCGGATAGGATACTCGCAAGCCCTTGCTTCAATTTAGTCAGCTGAACTCCGAGGCTATCCGGGTCCGGTGGCGCCGACGCACCTGGTAGGTGTCATCGGAATCAAATGGATAAGCTGCGTATTGTTGCATCGGTGTTCTTACATCCGAGAGTTCTTCTTGCATTATGATCCCACTTGAAGTTCACTAAGATAGGAGCAATTGAACATCAGAACTCAGACATAGGCATGTCATTGTGTATGCATATTTGGTAAGGTCCGCGATCCCAAGCATGCGCAATTAACGGCAACTCTACCGGCAAAATAGATTCTCATTTGTTATCATGAAAAAAGTTTGTTAATTTTCGTTCTTGACCGATGGCGAGTCAAAGCTCTGTTAACCCGAGGAGGCTTGTTGGTATCCAAGCGGAACGGGTCACCCATGTCTCGAGCACCGATTATCCTGGGCACTACCCAGACGAAGATCACTCTTGGAATCTCCAGAAATTTAAAAATGTGCGCTCGCTAATGAGAATTCTCACTTCTGCTGATTATGTATAACCCCCAAGGATAGAACTTACGAGTGAAAGTCCAACGGCTTTCCCAGCGATCCATCGAATTTGACCTAGTTGGGGTGGATGCATCCATTGCGAATGCTTTCCGTCGCATCATGATAGCTGAGGTACATCCTGCTCATGTCCAACATTTTGATGTGGCTGAAGTTGTTTAGGTGCCAACTGTTGCTATCGAACATGTATACGTGTGGGACAATACTACTGTTGTTGTGGATGAGGTTTTGGCACACCGAATCGGCCTTGTTCCGCTAAATGTCGATCCAGCTCTCGTTTCTATGAAAGAAAGTACGCGCCGCCGCCTATCAAATGATATTTTCCCAGTTTTTGAGCTTTTCCATTAGACGTTGCGGAAGTAGCAACCGATCGGAACACTATTGTATTCGAGGTCGATATGTTATGCGAACGGAATCCCCAGGCTTCTAAAGACGCGACCGAGGCCTCAGAGCTTTACATCAACCACGAAATGCTCTCTTCCCACTTGGTATGGAAGCCTGCGGGAGAACAAGAGGAAGTGTTTGCCACCAACCCTCCAGCACCCACCAACCTGAACATAGTGCTCACGAAACTGCGGCCGGGGCAAGCAGTCCACATGGAACTACACGCTGTGAAAGGCATTGGCAAAGATCACGCAAAGTTTAGCCCTGTTGGTATGTTGCTCGGCCCCCTACCCTGATGGCGGCCTCATGCTGAGTGCATCACATGCAGCGACAGCGTCATATCGTTTGCTACCACACATTGAGATCACGAAGCCTATACCGCCTCATCTCGCAGAAAAATTCCAGCAGTGTTTCTCGCCGGGCGTTATCCGTGTCGATCCGCGCACCAAAGCAGTCCGCGTCGACCCCTACAACGTCCGCCGGGATACAGTCAGCAGAGAGGTTCTGCGACATAGTGAGTTCACCGACTCAGTCAAGCTCAGCCGAGTGCGAGATCATTTTCTTTGTATGTCTCATTGTTTGGCTTCGGCATGAGCAGTGCTAACAAGCCTTAGACAATGTGGAATCGGAAGGCCCGTATGCGCCAGAGCGGCTGATGTTAGAAGCTATTAGGGTGATGCGAGGTAAAATCGCGAACATAAAAGATGCAGCGGCTGCTCTCTTGGACCAGGATGTGCTTACCGTGGAAGATGTTGAGATGGGCGACAGCTAAGGTCGTGCTCTTTGTTGTAGGATATCGACGTCATTCCATTTCCAATGAAACATTTAGCAGCCGAAGTATCAAACACTATTTCAACCGTTGTACACTGGGGAATCCTCAACACTACTTCACAATTCAGGGATGAACCAATATCTTGACTAAATGCTGATTAGATTTTCCACAAGAGTTTAGAAGGAATCTCTAACCTTGAGTATCCTTTTCCTCCAATAATGACATGATTCCTTTCTCCACCACATCTTCGATAGGAATCCGATTCGTGATCAGTTTCTCAATACCCGTAATTTTTCCCTCAGCCACGGCCTGTATGAGTTCCT